CCTACCTGAACACATGCCGTTGTAACCTCTGCTCCTCCACCCAATGCCCAACCTTGAACCAGTGCGACACTTATCAAAGGAAGTCTGTATATTGAAGGAAAAATGTATGTTAACATTTCAAATTTCAATATTAATCTACAAACATTATTTAAAACTTGAGATGCAATAGAAACAAAATTACTGAACTATGTTTATAATAAATAAACAAATCTCAAAGGATACTCGGTGCATTATGAGGAGCAAATCAGTATAATACTGAAGATATTTATACAATTCATACAAAATGCCGTATACGTTTATCAAAATACCTCTTTGAATCATTGTTTATTTTAAAACCAGAGTCAGATTCTAACTTTACTCCAAAAAAATGGATGATTTTGGACAATATACAGCTCCTGGCACTTCTCAACTACTTACTGGCAATCAGGAATAATTCCATGTGATATTGCCTTATTCGTTTTTATTGGTATCAGGTTATAGATGGAAAAGTTAGGACTGTATCCAGAGGGAGGAAATGTGGTACAGAAGAATAGCTCCAACACTGTAGTTCTAAAGGTTCCTGTCTTTTCACTACTCACAGAGATGACCCAGAGACAAATCCTGTATAAAGACAAGGTTCTGTAGTACCAGTAAAAACAAATCTCTTCCTGTTTGCAAAGACCCACTTTGCAGTGCAAGACTGTATCAGCATAAAAGGTAAATCTAAAATGTTTTTGAAAGTATGGATTTTTTTTGTAGGTTCTAATTGAAATGCATAGCTGTAAAGTACAGTAACTGAAAATTCCTTAATACACTTCTCTCAATTAAAAATAATTATTGAAGCCCTAGCCAGTTTGGCTCAGTAGATAGAGCACTGGCCTGCATACTCATTGAAGGGTCCCATGTTCAATTCTGGTCCACGCACATGTGGACTCGATCCTCAGTAGTGGGCGTGCAGGAGGCAGCTGATCAATGATTCTCTCTCATTGATGTTTCTATCTCTCTCTCCTTTCTCCCTTCCTCTCTGAAATCAATACAATATTATTTTTTTTTAAAAAACTTTAAGAAACAAAGCCAAATATAATAGAAAGAGGTGAACAGGAGCCAATACAATGAAAAAAGTATTTTAGAATAGTAATGTTATGATTCCATTGTTCTTCTTAGACTCTTACATACAAAGAACAACAAAAGTACAGTGTTGTCCAATTCATTAATATACTAAATAAATGGAAATTTCCTCAGTTATTATAGTTTTTAAGTTGTTTCCAGTTGGAATATAGAAGCAGAAAGCTCATCAGCCCAAACATGTCATTGTTTATAATCCCAAATGCAAAGTGAATCCATCTTCCTCACCAACCTGTAGCTCTTTCTCTCCAATCGGTAGCTCTTTTTCTCTCTTCAGGATATGGACCACTTCACTATATGTTCTACTAATTTTGTTAGGTAATCTGTGTCCTCTCCTGATCATGTCTTTATTCTGCTCTGATATCAGTATTTTAACTTTCCCATGTCTATACCTAAATATATACAGCTACTAATATAATCTCTTTATGGGAAAGTACTATATTTTAAATTCTTTTTATCTCTCATGTCTCTTATTTTTAAATACTTGTGTATATTTCACTAACATTTAATTAAATGACTATCCTTGATGACACAAATAGTTCATTAGAATAAATATAATTTGAAAATCAGCTTTTTTTACTGGTACAACACAGAATAATAAAAACCTATTTTTGTTTTATTAGAAATCATATTTGAAAAAGAAAAATACATTACCTCATCAATCTTGTTAAGGTGTTTTGCATGAACATACATAAGGCCACTCCATCCTTTAAATAAAAATAAATAAATAACCATAAACACAAAGGTATACTGCAAATGTATAAGAATTAAAAAACAAACAAACATATTTTCAGGGTTTAGAAAGAAATAAAGCCAATAATACACCTAACTTTTTTTTTAAATGAGGTTTTCATTTAAAACTCTTTGAGGCATTGCTGTCTGAAATGCAAATGATGCAGTTTGGGATTTTATTGATGTTCTAGGACTCCTGGGGCTCAGCTTTGAATGAGGCATTAGCAAAGACTTAGAGGTGAGAGTTAGATCACACACCCTGACAAGTATGGGTTCTACGCGAGTAATATGGGGGGAAGAGACATAACATACCCCATCCATTATCCCAGACTCAGAGCCTCTAAAACAGCGGTTCTCAACCGGTGGGTCGCGACCCCTTTGGGGGTCAAATGACCCTTTCACAGGGGTCGCCTAAGACCATTGGAAAACACATATCCTATCTAATAATAGACAAACATGGTAATTAACTGTACCTTTGCTACCATCACCATTGGCTCATCAGCACGATATGCAAATTAACCACCAACAAAGATGGTGGCTAATTTGCACACTGTAGGCAGGGCAGGACACTGGGAGCTGCCATCCAGGCCCCCGTGTGTGACCCCAGGAAACGCCGGAGAGCCGGGCCGCGGGCAAGGCGGCCCCCTAGGACCCAGAAGCTATGAGGGAGAGGGTGGGGGGCGGAAGGAGCTACAGGAGCAGCTCTGGCTGGAGAATGAAGACTCCCGCTGGAGCGAGGAGCAAAGACTGAAGGTTCCAGCTGCAGTGAAGACTGTGTCCAGAGCGAATATGGAAGGCGGTGGCCAGAGTGAAGGTCTGGGTCCCGGATGCCAGAAGAAAACTGGTGCTGGCAGCCAGGGGAAAGAAGGCCCATTGCACGAATCTTCATGCAACAGGCCTCTAGTTGAATATATAATTAATATTGTTTTTGTGACTAATCACTATGCTTTAATTATGTTCAATTTGTAACAATGAAAATACATCCTGCATATCAGATATTTACGATTCATAACAGTAGCAAAATTAGTTATGAAGTAGCAACGAAAATAATTTTATGGTTGGGAATCACTACAACATGAGGAACTGTATTAAAGGGTCGCGGCACTAGGAAGGCTGAGAACCACTGCTGTAAAAGTATACAGCCTACATTTACAATTTAATGGCAACAAATACATTTTTTTCCTTTTTCATTTCTCTCAAGTTTTGTTTTTGTTGTTGTTGTTGTTTGGGGCCTAGGGGATGTGTGGAAGCCTGAATTCAAGAAAAAGAAGTTCCTTGGAGGACTGATAATGGAAGATGATTAAGAATCTTTTTCTATCAGAGCAATAATTCAAAGCAAAACTTTAAATTTATCATTTGTTGAAGCTTGCTATGTACCAAAGTACCAAAGCTGTTAGATTCTATATAGTATACCTCATATAAATTCCTTATCAGGAGATGCTAAGGGGCTTTCACTTAAAATTCAAGTTCTTGCTGTATTCAATAATGTACTTTGGTTATTGCTAATCTCTTCGTTCTTCCTCCCTGCCCCCCGTGCCCCAATTCTTCACACTATTGCAACCTAATCTTGAAGAAGCAAACAAAAACTCTGATCCTTGTAAAGCTATTAAAGAGTAGCTGTCATCATAACCATATAAGTAAAATATAAATAGCTCAGCCACAGCTGTCTGGTAAACATGTAGAGCCCAGTATGCAATTCATATATACTTGCCTCCGGAGTTCCTAGGGCTTTCACAGCATTCAGATCAGATCCTGAGGAGAATGTATTTTTTGCCCCACGAACAATGAGACCTTTCCCCTCTGTCCAATTTTCCAATTCAGTCACTTTTTCCAAAAGTTGTAGCATCATAACACCTGCCAGAGAGGGGAGGGGGAATCATAAACAGCTAAGATACTGGAGAAACAGAAATAATTTAGAAGCCATAAGGCTTCAAACAAGACTCTTATGTCATATATTATACAAATTATTTACTGAATGTCAAATACCTATTGTGTTGGTACTATGATGTACATACAAAAGAGGTATACATAACAGTCCCTGGTTTAAAAGCTTAGTGATCTTTTGCATAACATCATAGCAGCACAATTCGAATTTGAGCTTTGGCCAAAAATTACAAATTCACATGTATCCTGAACCTTCAGGTCTCTTAAATATAAAATTTTTATATTCCAAGAGTGCTGCCTAGCAAATAGAAGGTATTTACCAGTAACCGAGTTAGGAAATGAGAAACAGATAGGCAAGTGCAGTGTTTTCATTGATTGAAATTACATGTTTAAAATCTGTCTTATTTCAATTCACAAAAAGGAAAATTTAAGCTAAATAGTAATTTCTTTTTTCATTTATAGGTTTTTCTCTTTAGTTGTTAAAAATCTTTTAAACCACCTTTCCTTTGTCTCCCAGTAACATTAGCTGAACACAAACAAATGAAGTTAGTAAGCAGTTAATAAATTTCAATGGAAAAAATAATCAAGATTAATTTGATATTTTCCTTTTCATCTGCATCTGTATTCCCAGGTTTTTAAAAAAGAAAACCATTAAAACTTGCACCATGAGTAAAAATGTTCCCGTTCATATGATAGTTTTGTTTTGTTCCCATGTTCTACAAAGGGTACCATGACTTTCACGAATTATGTCACCAAAGTAAGGATAAGAGTCATGTAATAGCAGGTTAGAACTAGTGTCACTTTTTAATGAGCCTAAGAAAGCTCTCTGTACCTGAGAAGGCATTCCGTTTACTGGGATTGTTCAGAGTAAGGATGCCAATGCCATTGTCTTCCTTCTGAAGGTCAATGGATCCGCCAGGAAACTGCTGAAGTTTTTTTTTTACTTCCTCCTCATGGAAGCCATGAGATGTATTATAAAGTGACAATCCCGTCTGATGGAGCAATTTTGTCCTTAGAGACATAGACGATGTCTTCAAAAGACTTGCTGCCATTTCTGGAAAAGAGACAAAAGCATACAACAGTGCAGATGAACAGACACTGTGGTACTAGTTTTTTGTTAGCAGGCCTTTGTTTAATTGGGAGGACTTTCCCACTTCTAGAAGCAACTTTTTGAAGATAGATGGTCAGTATGGAATTCCTTTCCTTTCCCCCCTTTCTCAAACCACATAATTCACAAAGTATATTATTTCAGTACATCAGAGATATGATGACACAGTTACAGTGCATTTACTAGGATCTAAAACACTAGGAAAGTTTAGAAGAATGTTGCTGTTCCGTATTTAGCATCATCTCCTGACTCCAGGTAGTTTTTCTCATGACAGTTGTTCTTTTTCCAACTCTTTAACTTTTCCAAAATTTAAGAAGAAATTCAATCCAAATGTCCACTTAGAAACAGTCTTAATGCAAAAATGTTTTAAGAACAGTCCTGTTCTCTAACAGAAATTTTATTCTTAGCATTATCCTCACTTTATGTAATGTTTTCATAGAAAAAGCTGGAAGGGGTCCTGAGGAAAATGGGGAAAGAAATAGGGATGTATGTGTCTGTGGTTTCTGTATTCCCCGGGGTTCTGTCACTCTTCTCTTCTCTTTTGGGCAATCCCAACTCTGCCCACAGGCTTTTCTTATGTAAGCATTGTTGTTGACATAAAACATACTAGTATATTCAGAAAAGTACACAGCTTAATGAGCTACATTTAAGTAAAGAACAGCACTGAACACATTTAAGCCAATAATAGCACTCAGTAGATAACATGAATCCCAGGTTTGTTATGCCACCTGTCAATCACCACTCCAAATAAGAATAACAACTATCTTGACTTCTAATATCCAAGATTGTTGGCCTGCTTTGAACTTTATATAAATTAAATAATATGGTATATTCTTTTGTGTCTGATTTCCACTATGTTTGCAGCATCCATTATTGCTATTATGTGTACTTGAGTAAAAAGGTCCTCTCTCTCTCTCTCCAGTATGTCCAAGCTTGCTTTTACCTGGAGTATGCTTTATGCATGTTTTGCCCCTGGGGATATGTCAGATATACAAAAGACAACTCATCAGAAAACTAAATCGGAGCAGAGGTCTTGATCTTTTCCACAGTACTTCAGTATGAAAGAAATGTGCCAAAGAAACCTGATAAGAACTTGGGTGGCTATTTTTAAAAAATAAATTTGCCTATATTCTGTTTGGGGAAAAGAACAAAGAATTAAATAAGAAAATAATGAAGTATGATTCATAAAATCATTAGCATTTTAAATTCTTATTGTGGTATAATGGAATTAATAAATAGTATATCTTCCCTTTCACAAATTATGTCACCAAAGTAAGGATAAGAGTCATGTAATTACCCTCTTTCCAATCCAATAATACAAAGACAACTGGTACAGATGCCATCAGATCTATTTCTCTTTATCCTTAAATCATTACAATTAAAAGATTTATGTAACTAATATTATACCTCATCAGACATCTTTGATATGCTGATTTTCCCAAGGAAACATCAATACTTCCTGTAGCCTTCTCTTTATTAATTCCACATGTTCTCTCTTCTCTCTACCGCCCTCAATTGCTGCCCTCTTCCACTAACTCTCCCTTCTTTTCTCTCCTCATATTCCCTTGTCTGTGCCACAAAATAGTACCATGAAAACTCAAGAGACCTGCCTACCAGGTTTCTGACCTCTGTTTGGAAATCCAATTCTAGAAATCTGATCACAGCCAATATGTACAATTTCATCGCAATTCTAATTTCAGAGACGAAGACTTCAGTGCTGAGGAGATGACAAGGTGTTAGCTCCTATTAAGCTACTATGGTACCTGAAAGTACAAGTGAAGGAACGAGGGTTGAGATTCAAGTTTTGCATAAACATGAAGTTGAGCATCAGCATTGTGGGCTAGTTCTAGAATCGTAAGACAATGAACAGGTTCTAGGGCATTTACTACTCGATACACTCCTCAGGGCAAAGTGCAAGTTTAACACTTGCCATGCAGAATGCTTTGCTTTCGGGCCTCATGCAAATTCCGTTCCGTGGAATTAAACCACACCACAGGGAAAGGGAAGGAGAAGGGAGCCCCACAGACATCTGAGATCAAAGGTGTCACTTTCTTCCTTTTTCACAGTGCTGCACAGGTGACAAGAGCTCCCCTCTCTGCACAGGGAATAAGCTAGCTGTTCTCTTAAAACCCATGTTACACATCCTGAAATTTAATAAACCAAAAAATTAACACAAATGCATACTCAACAAGAAGACAATTAGCCTGAGGTAGGTAGTAAACAAAAAAAATCAGAAATATTCTGTTTCAGCCAATATATGACGTGTTTCCAAGTCTGGATTTGGTTTTAGGCTGTCATTCTATATTGTACCATGCAAGTTCCATTACATGCCACACACCCCCTTTTCATCACACAGCCAAATTGACCTGCTTCCGTTTCTCAAATCCTTCCGGTTTTCTCTTCGCTCCAAGCCTCTGTCAGTGTGACTCTTACCTGTTACACTGTTCTCTTCCTCAGAGTAACTCCAGATCACCTCCTTTAGGACTCTAGACTACATCAAATACTCTAAATGTCTGTTTTCCTTTATATTTATGAATACTCACTCTCCCATAATTAACCAAATCTTCCCATTAGGAAGTCATTTGCATGTTTAGAACCGTGCCTGACAAAATGGTATCTGTCAATAATACTTTGGCATTCAAGGCTTCAGAATCCATAACGCCACAGGCGGCTTAAACATCTGTCCCCCAAAACCCTAGCCGGTTTGGCTCAGTGGACAGAGCGCCGGCCTGCGAACTGAAGGGTCCTGGACCCGATCCCGGTGAAAGGCATGTACCTCGGTTACAGGCTCCATCCCATTGCAGGAGGCAATCAATTGCTGTGTCTCTCTCACATCGATGTTTCTCTCGTCTCTATCCCCCTCCCCAGCCTTCTCTAAAAATCAATGGAAAAGTGTCCTCGCGTGAGGATTAACAAAAACAAAACAAAACACAAAAACAAAAAAACCTGTCCACCAACCAACTCTCCATCTACCCTGTTTATTATTCGCACCACTCACCCTGTTGGGACTCCATTCCTCTGCAAGCTGGTTTCTCCTATGGGGACGATGATCACTGCCTGTGCTCCGCCTGACTGTACGCACTCAGCTTTCAAGTCAGACAAGAGAAACGTCAACAAAAGGTCAGCTGCTTGGTCTGGTGACTATTTCCTTCCTCCTCCAGCAGATGTCACAATTTACATCTTTGCCCCAAAACGTATTTCTTCCAAGAGCGTTACAGGTCTCCACAGATCATGTCCACTGACCCCGATCCCTCAGAGCCGTGGGCAAACTACGGCCCGCGGGCCGGATCCGCCCGTTTGAAATGAATAAAACAAAACAAAACAAAACAAACAAACAAAAAAGACCGTACCCTTTTATGTAATGATGTTTACTGTGAATTTATATTAGTTCACACAAACATCCATCCATGCTTTTGTTCCGGCCTCCGGTCCAGTTTAAGAACCCATGGTGGCCCTCGAGTCAAAACGTTTGCCCACCCCTGGTATAGAGCATGAGCCGGTCAACAGCAGGCTCTCAGATGTGGAAGTGAGGGACGAGGGGGGTCCATGGAGCTCTCCTCTCAAAGCCCTTATCAGTCTTTCCAGCATGTGAGTCTTGTAGGTCATCTGTGGTTCTGATCCCCTACCTGTGTGACCGTGTGTGTAGCGATAAAAGGGTTATCGAAGCTCAAAAAAATTCTTCAACACATTCCAAACCTAAGGTGAAGAGCTTTTGTCCTTCTTCTGGTTGGAAAGTTGGCTGCGCGCAGCACGTTCTGTAGTTTCCGTGAAGCGAGATAATTTCACAGCGAGGCAGTGAGAAGGGCACTCGTCCTGGCCCTTGGGAACCTCACCTGGCCGGGACCGCACCCCAGCAAACAAAGGCAGAACTCTCCGCCATCCCGACGTTCCCTTCCGCCAAATCCCCGAACGCCAAGCCAACCCGGGGCCTCCCCAGCCTACACAAGGCTGCGTGTGTGGCCCCGGCCAACCCCATGTTTCCTCTCTCCCACTTTTTCTTTGTTCTTTGTCCTATAAAAGCTGTGTGCCCTCCACCCCACTGTGCGATCCTCGGACACACTACCCTTCGTGATAGACTGAAAAGAGAGACATCTGTTTGCATCAGCTGGACGTTCTTTCGTTATTTATCATGACACACTCGGCACAGGGCCTGGAAGGTATTCCTAGTTTAAACCCGTGCGTTGAAATACTGCCTCCGATTCAGCGATTTCCCCACGTTCTCAAGCAAGTTTTCCCCTCCGGCTCTCTCACCTGGCCTAGTCCGGCGGCGGCGCTGGGCACTGCGTCCGCCCGCCCGGCAGAGGGCAGTGGACCGCGCGGCGGCTCCGTGGGTACCGCGCCGCCGGGGCCTGGCGGGGCCCGGAACGCAATTCGTGTGGATAAACGCTGAAGTCCATTACACAGCGACATGCTAGGGCTCTTTCTTAGCCGACGCCTAAAATGCAGCCCCTGCGGCCAAACTCTTGGAAGGCGCCTGGCGCTGACTTTCCCTCCCGCTCCTCTCGCCCCTCTTCCGCTTTCACGCGCCCCTCTTCC